CAGGCTGCAGGGAGTGGATGGGCGAGTTTAAGGGTAGAGGCTGGGAATTTTTAGTATACCTGTGAAGAGACAAAAGAACAGCAGAGAGGGAACACATATACTGAGACAGAAACCCATTTTTTAATTTTTACTTTATTTTTTTGACACAACCGGTGTATTATTTGTAGGCCATGCCCTTTTAAACATAATTTTAAAGGGACTGAGCCCTAATTTACTTTTTGGGAGAGCACGGATGCGGAGCAGAACTAGGGGCAGGGCATTAGGCCACCGTAGGGAGGCCTTCTGGCATACTTTTGAGAAATGTCGCTTAAGGGTCTGATTGGTTTGCTTTATTACCCCACTGGTTTGCGGTTTTTACGGTGTATGGAGTTTTTAGGGAATCTGTAAAGCGTCTGAGATGCTTTTGACGATTTTTAACGTGAAGTGTGTTTTATTGTTAGATTTTATTTACTGGGGAAGTTTAAAGCGAGGAATAATTTTTTTAACAAACTTGAGAGCCACTGTCCTGGCAGTGCAATTGTGACATGGAAAGACTTTAGGCTATTTGCTGAATTTATTTACTATAATAAGGAGATAGTTGAACCCTTGGGTCCGGGGAAACTTAGTAAAGTTTATTTGCCACACGTGTCTGGGGCCTGGAGTGGGTTCCAGGGCTGCTGGTGGTACTGGGTGTCTTGGTCGGGGGCTATTTTTTTGACAGACTAGGCATTTTGCCTGTACCTGGGCAGCCAGGGGTTTGAGTCTGGAGGTTATGAAGTACTTTTTTATTAGTTGAATAAGTGCCTTTTTGCCAGCATGAGTGGTTTGATGTAATTTTTGTAATACTGGAAGAATTAGGCCTTTTGGTAAGAGGACTTTTTTTTGGGGGGGGGGGGGGGAGATGAAGCCTTTTTTTTTTTTTTTTTTGGAGACCAAGTTTGTTAGCTAGCTGTTTTTTTTGTTTGTTTTTTTTTAGAATAATGAGGGGTTGGGAGCTCCCCCACTGATGGGATAAGGGCAAGCATATAGGTGTTTTTAGTCTGAGGGGACATCAGGGTGGAAGCATGCTTTGCCTTTTTATTTGCCCTGGCATTATTTTTAGTTTTATTTTGATTTTTTTTTTTTGATGGGCCTTATAGTGTACTACTGCCACTTCTGAAGGGAGTTGCACTGCCTTTAAAAGCCGGAGAATTTGGGGCCCGTACTTGACTGGAGAGCCTTGGGCTGTTAGCATTTTTTTTTTTGCTTTTACAGGCCAGCATGAGCATGCAGCACACCAAAAGCATATTTGGAATCAGTGAAAATATTGACTTGGTTTTTTTTGGACAGTTTGAGTGCATGGGTCAGGGCCACTAGCTTAGCCAACTGGGCAGAGGTTTCAGCGGGCAAACTTTTAGCTTTTATGGTGTCATTGAGGGTTATAATAGCATAACCGCCCTTTTTTGCCTATTTATTACTATGCTGTTACTATTAGTGTACTACTTATAGTTTGCATTTGGGAGGGGCACATTTTTTAATTTAATTAAAGGGTGGCTAGAATATTGGGCATTTATGATTTTTAAACAGTTATGTTTTTGTTTTTTAGTTTTTGGTAAAAGGGTGGCAGGGTTAAGGGATGGACAAGGCTGCAGCGTGACCTCAGGGTTTTTTAAGAGCTTTGCTTGGTATCTTGCCATAGGCATTTGTGTGAGCCAGAGGCCGCCCTTAACATCCAGTAAAACGCGTACCATGTGTGGTGTAAAAACCTGCATTGTTTTTTTTAGTGTTAGTTTTTTTTGCTTTTGCCAGGGTCAGAGCAGTGGCTGCCACTGCCTGCAGGCATATTGGCCAGCCCTTAGCTACTTGGTCTAGTTGTTTAGAAAAATATGCCACCAGACCTTTTTATGTTTTTAGCAGCTGTGTGAGTACTTTTAGGGCCACCCCATTTTGTTTATGTACATACAACTGAAATGGCTTGGAGAGATCGGGCAGACCTAGAGCTGGGGCTTTTATTAGCTTTTTTTTTAGGATTTTAAATGCCCTGTCAGCCTTTGGGGTTTAATGAAAGGGGTTATAGTTTGCTTTTTTATACAGTTGTACAGGGGTTTAGCTCATAGTTTAAACTTTGGGATTTATATTTTACAGAAGCCTGCCATCCCCAGAAATGCTCTGAGCCGCTTGCGATTACTCGGGATAGGAACTTGGCATATGGCTTTTTTTTTTTTATTTGAAAGCTGGCGTTTCTTTTGCCATATGTAGAACCCAAGGTACTGTATCTGCGGGAGAGCAATTTGAGCCTTACTTTGTGTTACCTGATATTTTTGGAGTTTTACAAAATTTAGGAGACTCACGGTGGCTTTAAGGCAGGGAGTTAAGCTCACAGTGGCAATTAACAGATTATTTATGTATTGCAAAAGGAGGGCTATTTTATTTTTTTAGGTTTTTGGTCAGAGCCTGGCCAAAGAGGGTGGGGGAATTTTTAAACCCCTGGGCTAACACTGTCTAGCAAAGTTGCTTTTTAACTTTGTTAAGGTCTTTTTATTTGAAGGAGAAAATTTTTTGTGATGAGGTGTTAACTGGGATGGCAAAAAAAGCATTTTTTAAATTAAGAACTGAAAAATGGGTATACTATCGGATTGTGTTTTGAATGCGCTGCAAAAAGGCTCCAGGGCTTTTTTGGGGGGGGGGTTGCACTACTTTATATGGTTTAGTTTAATTATTTTGTCTGACAGCTGCGTGACGGAGTCCATACAGTAGCAGCTCTTTATAGGAGGTGAGGTGGGTCATAGCTTGATTACTATTTGGGTCCCACCTAGGATTTTTTATGGGAACCTGATTATTTGGGATTGGGACATTGTTACGGTCCTGGTTATATTGCCTTTTTGCTTTTTTTTTTTTTTTTTTTTGCTTTACCTTTTGTTTTTGTTTAACCTTAGTTAATAATGATTTGCAGAAGGACATTACAATTATTTTAGTTTGGCTTGTAGCTACTAAGACATCTCTCAAAAACCGATACAAACTTGCCTGGGTTGATAGAAAATTTTTTAGCCTGTGGTTTGAAAGCGGCCAGGTTTATAGGATTAAAAGGTGCATGAGTATAGACCTGCATGGTAAGAGCAGCTTGTTTTTTTTTATTGCATTATGGGCAATTTTAGTTTCGGTAAGTAACGGGTATAGTTTAGCAGATGGAGCTTGAACCTTACTATGAGCTTTACTAGGAATTTTACTTTGAGCCTTGCTCTGTGTGGGTGTAGGGGCCGAAGGAGCCTCACTTTGTGTGGGTGTAAGGGCTGAAGGAGCCTTACTTTGCGTGGGTGTAGGGGCCGAAGGAGACACCAGATCTGCCATTATATTTGGGGTGCGGGTCCGGGAACTGACGTTAATTGCTACTGGGCCAATCGGGGTTAAATTACAGCATTGTAAAATATTAGTAGGAGACCACAAGGTTATAAACAAGTAAGCATAGGAATGCTTATTTTACTTTTTTGTTTGTTGACAGAACAGGAGTAACTGGAGGATTGTATTATGATTTAGTGATTTTCCAGGAGGCCACTGTTTTTGGTTTTTTAATTGGTACTGAGGCCAGTTAACTGTATAAAATTGCTTCAATTTATTTTTAGTTATTGGATTTGATTTAAATACTTCTTAATTTACTAAAATATACTTTAGGGGCATGCACCGTACTTTACCTTTTGTGCTCTGTTTTTGTTTTATACTTACAGGGTAACTTTGGGCGTTTTTAGGTTTTAACAGAGCATATAATTTGGATTTTAGAAGGTTATTTTATTTTATTTAAGGGACCGGTTTTTTACTGTTGCCCACAGCTGTTTTTTTACTATATGAGTGCGTTGCACCGTTGTGCCCTTTGGGGTTGATTAAACTGTGTTTTTTTTGAGGCCCCCAATGAACTTACCGGTGCGCGCTGGGCGTTGGTTTTTGCCACTATTTTTGACCGCCGGAAGGGATTTGGGCAAGGCTAAATTGCAGGCTTGTTGCCCCACGTTGGGCGCCAAAAGCTGTTGCCGGCACCCAGTGCCGAGAGGCAAAACAACAGCAGGCGTTCGTTACCCGGTGTGCTTTACTTAATAATCACAACGGGGTGGAGAAGCAGAAAAGTTTGTTTGCAGCTGCAAATAAACTTTTCTGCTTCTCCACCCCGTTATAATTATTAAGTAAAGCACACCAGGTAACAAACCCCTGCTGTTGTTTTGCCTCTGGGCACTGGGTGCCGGCAACATGTAGGTATTTAGGAATGACAGGAAGGAAAATGGGGTTGGCACTTAGCCAATGTTTGTTGTGACGCTGTTCCAAGCACAGAAGGCACAAAGTAGAGAGTGGGTATGGATGCTCTCATACCACGGTGATAAGTGTGACAAGAACTGAATTACAAAGCAGAATAGAAAAAAGGGTGTGGAGAGGGAACGGAACTAGGAGCAGGAAAACATGACCTGCTGTGTGATCCTGGCAAGTCCCTTCACCTCTCTATGCCTCCGTTTCTCTTCCCACCCTTTGTCTGTCTTGTCTGTTTCGGATGTAAGCTCTTTAGAGCAGGGACTGTCTCTAGCTAGATGTCTGTACAGTGTCTACCCCAATAGGGCCTCTACGAGCTACTGTAATAAACACAGGAATAATAGGAGAGAGGCTTGGACAGACCAGAGAGAAGAGGAAATGGTACAGGAAGAAATGAGGTAGAGACATACACGGGAGCACTAATATGAGAGTTTTAAAGGTACTAATAAAACTGAGGAAGGGCAATGGAGAATTGAGTCCTAGTAGTTTAAAACAGTCAGTTTCATGGAAGATTTTATTCTATGGTGAAGTCCTAGCCCCACTGAAGTCAACGGCAATTACTTCAATGTTGCCAGAATTTCACCCCTTTAAGTATCGCACTATTGTTACAGGTTAACACGCTAGACATCTGACGCAAAAGACTGAGAAAAAACGTCATGTAAAACATGGAACCTTTTATTAAGATCTACTCAGATCTTTACTTTTATGTCATTTGAGTATCATCAAAATATAAAAAGAAATATTAAGCATACCTCAGCTCCTAAACTGAGAGAGGTTATTTCATCCTCAAACGCAGAATGAGTATCAATATGAGGAGGAATTCCTATAACACAAAAACCAGAGAATGAATGAATAGTCACTGCAATTATATTGAAATACCATCACTTTTAATGTAAGCTTCTCCTAAGTCCCATTTTCACAGCTGTTCACATGTAAACCATAACACAGTAACCTCGTGCATTTTTATGCCTACTATGTGTAGTGCAGTACTACAGCAGATCAAAACATGGGATTTCCTTCCCCTCCCATGGGAAATTCTGATATTTCAACAGTTGTTTTCATCCCAAATCAACATTTGTTTTCAAAATGCACTGCAGTAGCTCAGCCACAGGGAGACTCCAGTGCATCATGGGAGACATAGTCTGGCTAGAAAGCAGGGCCCATGGGGAGAATGGGGACACGAAGGACTTGGAAATATAACTTCCATATGGCACTGCAGCTGCTCTGGCAGACACACAGATTAATGAAAAGAGAAAAGGAGTACTAGTGGCACCTTAGAGATGAACCAATTTATTTGCGCATAAGCTTTCGTGAGCTACAGCTCACTTCATCGGAGTTTTTCCACTTAATGCATCCGATTGAAAAGCTTAGGGATAGGGATAGAATTTGACTCAGTACAGATACTGGATAGTATTTATATCAATGCACTGGATTGCACATACTGTATGCTAATTAATGTCCTAAATGTTAGAGCTTAAGAAAGGTTTTATATAAATTCTGTATTCCTGGAAGAAAATTACAATTCATACTAATTAATTCAGATAACCCAGACAGCAGCACATAACCATACCAATTTAACTGGCTGTCAGATATGTGAACGAACAGGGTCAGATGTCTAGACCCTAGGTTGGCAGATAATAAGTACACTGTCAGAGATTAATTATGGAAGGGAAGTGTTTGTCCTTCATTCATAAGGACAAACCAGATATATTCCAGAGACTGGAAAGCCAAAGCCAGGTACCTTGCCTTGATGAAGTAACTCTCTCCTCTGTCCTACTGAGTCTGGAAGAGACTGTTGGAGCAGCACTCCCTTCCTCCAACATGGGGATACAGTCTGCATCATCCTGAAGATTCTCTCATATGTACTTATAGAAGGGGGTTTCTTGTTGCTTGGCAAAACATGGCAGGAAAGGTTTGAGTTTGGCCAGCCCGTTGAAAGCCCTGCAGTTATACTTGGACCAGGTGATTTTCCTGAATCTTTATCTCAGGAAGTGAATGAAAAATGGGTTTGGTTGATCCTGTCATACATGGACTGTTTACCTCTCCAGGTTACCAACTCTTCTATTACATAATCAGCTTCCGTGACCTGGCCTAAGACGCTTGGGCCAGATTCTAATCTCAGTTACTCATTTTCAATACCAGGATATCTCTAAATGTGAGTTCCCAAGTTAGGAAGACTGCATCCAGACACTGCCCCCAATTCATGAAAGCCTCCCTGTGGAACTTAGCAGATGCAGAAGTGCTGTCTCCGAATCATACCCATTGTAGTTGGTTTTCTGTTTTCAATTCTAGATAAAATATTGAGTTTGATTTTTTTAAAGGGCAAATGCACTTACCTTGTCCAGGTTCATACTGGTTTATTGTCAACTGATCGGGTTTATGTTTGATATATCCCTGCTTCAAGCACTTCTCCAGAAGCATGCTGCAAATTCCCGGGAGCCCTGTTATTACAAACAGAAGTATAAACCAGATGTTTTCCTACTCTTTTTTTCTGCTTTTGGTGAAGGAGAAATCTAACAACTGGACAAAATACACAGAAATATGATAAAATATCTACAGCCAAAATGGGGCTTGTAAGTCACTGCACCCCATCAATTACACAGGCAATATTGTACTCACTATGATGTGTGCATGGAAATAGTGGGTCTAATCCTGCAAACCCTCTACATGTGTAACTTGCATAGACTATAAGTAGTTCTTAGAAGCCCGCCACACACAAAGGACTGGCAGCACTGGGCCCATTGTTTGCATGTGCAATTTCTATTGTCTGTGAACATAAATAACTGGATGCCAAATTCGGTGTAATTGAAATCAATGGCAAAATCCCCATTCACCCCAATGGGTGCAGAATTTCACCCAGGTGCACAAGTGCTTTGCACAAAATTAAAGGCTGAGTTAGGACCCTGTCTTAGGGCAGTCCCTGCCTGGAGCACCCTTCTGTAGCAGGCTGCTGAATGACAGACATGCCTGCCTCAGTTTCCCTCCTGCAGACTCCTCCAAAATAGTCCACAGAATCTTTCTGGGGGAAAATATAGCCCTTGTAGGGTTATCTTATTAAAAAAGTACAGTCCACATAAATCATAACAAAAGTCCCATTATCATCGTCCAGTTTTCCCCCAGCATAGTGCAAATAGCACATGCAAAACATAGCCCTGGCATCTCTTACTACACCTGCAGCCTGCTCCTGTCCTTGTACCAGGACAGCCACTGGGCCCTTCCAACCAAAGCGCAAGCCCACTCTTCCCAGCTGGGACCCCGACGGCCTCTCTGCTGGGAGCATCCCTCATACCTACCAGCCCTCTCACAGTTCCTCTCGGTCTCACTCTCTGGCCCTGAAATGTCAATGGGTAAGCCCCTCTGCTGTTCCCCAGCTGTCAGCCCTCTCCACCCTTAGCTGCAGCAGGCAACTTCCTCATATAGCGGTTGCTCAAAAAAGTGACCAAAATTTAGAAGTTCACAATCTACATTTGGCTAGACCTCAGTGAAGAATGGCATCCATGACTCTTTTAAAAAGTTTGAAAAAAATACCAAGTTATAAGTGATTAAAAATGGGTTCCATCCATGCATGCTAAAACATGATTTACTACAGCACTGATTCAGGAAAATATCCCTATTCAAGAAGGGTGTTTAAGCGTGTCGTTAAATTCCATTGAAGTTAATTGGATTTACACACCTGTTTAAGTGCCTTCTTTAATCAAGGCTTTAGTTATACAACTTCCTGGAACACTACACTGTACTGAAGTTAGGTTCTGTGTGTATCTGTTGGAAAACAGATTTAAAACAAATGCCATTTTAAAATGCCTTTTCATAGGAAAGTTCTCACCTCCATGCAATGGTTTATCTTTGTCTACATTGTTGTTGTCATATCGAAACTCATATCCAAAATGCTTTACCCTTCTGTGTTTTAAAGACTTCTGGGCTGTGAAGCAGAAAAATTAAACAATGTAAAAATATTAAAATATGTAAAATATATTAATTTACACAATTCGCTATGCTTGCAGGGTATTTGCCTATTGCCTATTCCACACAATCTCTGTGCAGCTCAAAACTATTCAATAGTTGAAAACACTATTATTTTTGAACCTCAATATACAACTCAACTTTCCCATGTAGTAAGAGTGACAAAACAACACAGAGCTTTAGTACCACTTCTCTTTGAAGTCAAAACCCTGATGCTTTTACACATAGCAGCAATCCCACAGACATCAATGCTTATACATGGGAGCAAAGGCTGTAGGTCCCTGGACCTTGTGTTTGTCTCTCTCTGACAACAGTACCAATTTTCTTGAGCCATGGCTGACACTTTGAACAAGCTCATGATATGGACATAATAGGAACTTTCACTTCCTTGCATCGTTACACTTCACACTAACTAAAGTTAATATAATGCTTTGTGCTGTGTCAAGGAGTAAAAGTTACTTTGTAATATGGAAGCTAATTGGAAAAAATAACTGGCTTTGTTAAGAAATTTATTCCACAGAGCTCATTTGGAACTACATGAGCAACTGGGAAGGGAGCTTCTTTGACTTCTCTCTGGTCAAAAGCTCCAGCTCCCAGGCAGGCTATCAGATTACAGGTGCTGCATTCTCAGAACAAACTCACTGACTGACTACGCTGTCAGGAAATGACTCTACAGTAGCTGCTTCTGGAAGCAGGAGCATAACTCAAATGTAACTGTATGATATAAAACTCAATTTTAAAAGGACTAAATATACAGAATGATTTTAAGGAATAAATTGTCCAAGATGCAGACTTCGTGCAGAAATTAAATTCAACAAAAGGACAATTTGCAGTTATTTTTGAAGGTCTCACCTTCTATGGTTCTACTAACCATTTTGAATGACTTCATTTTCTGTCCAATCAATACTTTCCAACATCTTTTGTTCTTCTTCAGGAGACACAAGCTCTTCAACCATCATCAGGCCTGGAGGCAAGCTAATAGGTATAATGTCCTCCCAATGCACTGTGGGTATAAAAATAAAACAGTGCTACTGCTTATGGAAAATGATCCCCTTGTGTTCTTTTATCAATAATGATAAACCCGAGATAGATCATCATCATCTGAATTAATTATCCTCCTTGGTAGCATAAAACAGGATCAGAATCCATGTTCTGTGCTATACAACCCAATTCTCAAATTTCACTGTGTAGGACCCGAGAGACTTAGTGTTTTCCACTCTCAAAAAATATCGGATTTGTCTGTCAAAATAAAGGTCAAAACTTTCCCATGCGTTTCAGGGGAGATTCTAGTTGGATTCAATTTTATCTTGCCAGGACTCAGGATTTGTCACTGCTCATGGTTGACAAGCATAGAGTACAGTGAAGAAAGTATCATGTCTGAATGCTATATGCTGTTTCTTAAATGTAAGAAATGATATAAAATTAAGATGGTCATTTGTAGCTGTGCAACCAGATGTGATCAAATGTTCACTGCAACACCTATCTTAATAGAAAATGACTTACGTAACAGGCTCCCATCTTACAGCCCTATGAATTATTATTGAAAATTATCTGTACTGTGGTAGAGTTTAGGGGCCAAGATCAGGACCTCATTGTGCTAGATGCTCTACAAACATAGAGACGGAGTTCACAATCTAAACGGGCAAGTGTTATTGTTCCTATTTTACAGATGAGAAACTAAGGTGCAGAAAGATCAAATGACTTGGCCAAGGTCACACAGGAAGTCTGTAGAATGGGAATTGACCTCAGACCGCCCAAGTCCCAACCTATTATCTTCACCACAAAGACTATCCTTCCTCTCCAGCACAAATGGTTTGGCTCCAAGCTACCAGAGAGACCATCTCTCTCTCTCCACCTGATACGACCACATGTGCTCACGGAGGTGTTCCTGCTGCAGCCTCCTAGCATTAAACAAGAAGGAGCTGCTAGCAGGACATTTTCTGTGAAAGGTCTTTAGTTCTGACATTCACTCCATACCTCAGTCTACAAGAGACCAGATTTCAGGGTATGCTGCAAGACCCCTCTTTTTTCCCTAGACTTTAGTTAATGAGGAAAGTAGATTATTGTTCCTATTATTGTTTGATCCTTTGGGGCAATTAATTTTGCTTTTCAGCTTCCTGGAAAAGCTGACCCTTATATTTAATACATGTATTTATTCATCTATTTTATTTAGCCATATAAAGTATTGTTTCAAGCATCCACAGATTGCTCTAAGTTCCATATAATAAAAGACAAAAACCAGGAATGATTCACCAAACACAGTTCAAAAATATAAGGTGAATTTCTGACCCCACTGATGTCCATGACAAAACTTCCATTGACTCTCACGGAGCCAGAATTCCATCCACAGTTCCACTATAACAAGCAACTGAAAAGCAAAGGAAGAACAGTGATGCTTTATGGGATAGCAGAATATTGATACCTTTTTCCACAAAGTTAACATACAGAGTAACATTTTGGTCGGAGTCCTCCAGTGTTATCTCTTTCCCATTGAGAGTGTCGTAGGCTTTCTTTGCTTCTTCTGTCGACCCATATTTCATAAACGAATACGGTTTATTTGGAGGCATTAAGAGTGCTTCCACCAATCCACATTCCTCTACTAGCCTGAGCAGTTGGTGTCTATTCACACCATTACCCAGACCTCCATTGGCAATGACCAAGCTCTAATTTAAAAAAATTAAATAGACACGTTAGTGGTCACCACTGATTTGTTTACTTGAAAATAGCATTTCGCAAACACAAGTGTCATAAAGAGAAATGAAGCTATTATCTCTAAATTGGTCTGTGATTATTCTGTTTGATTTTCCAAAGGAAATGTTTCTATTTCAATTAGTCTGCAGTTATCTGAAGCCCAGAGCACATTAGTACAGCACACATTTAGGGGACAGGCTTTTACAGAACAAGAGCATTCAAGCTCAGAGAGACATAACACGCCCATGTTTGTGTGTACAGACACCACAACTGTGCCTGCAGACACGTATCTGTGCGGGCGGTGGGAAGGGGAGTCTACACATTTACAATACAGGGATGACATGTGCCTTGCACATGCCCTGAACATTCTTGTCCCTCAGCTCCAGAATTTATTTGTATTTGCAGATTCCATAGCCAACAGTTGGCTGTAAGTGTCCTTCAATACCCTTGAAAGGGTGGAACAAAAATAAATCCCATTGTATTAACTGTATCCGCCTGATTTTTTTCATGACAGCCAAGTGCTATGGCTCCCACAAATGAACTCAGAGAGAACTGAGCTCAGCAGCCAATTTCTAAACTCCCCCAATAACTTTTTTGAAGGAGTGGCCTCCAACATCATCCTCAACATTTTTCTCTTTACTCTCTTCCCCAAGGAAGGGTAACTCTTTCCTCTGTCTGAGGAGAGTCTGATGCATTCATTAGCATAACCCACTCATGCTATTCTTTCATTGGGCCAGGGGAGGAGGGCCACTTGAGAGCAATATGAGGTATCCCTCATGCCCCATGTTAGGGACTAACATGCAACCAGTGCTGAGCAGAATCAGCCCTGAGCAGGATCAGCTCAGAACCCAACTTCAGACCCTCTTCAGGGTACTTCTCTGAGTTGATGCTAGCTTGCTGGGGATGCCCCAAAATGCTAAAAGTAAAGATATACTGGTGAATATATATATTCTATATATAGTATATATCCTGCTGAAAGAATAGAATCACCCATTATCCAGGGGGCCGCTACACAATTCAAAATACAGCGTTAGGGCCACAGTTCATCCTCCAAACACTTATGCACGGGAGTAGTCTCAATGGGACGAGTTGCCATCACTGATGTGCCAGTGTCTCAGTGCAGCGACACTCAGGGTATGGCTACACTGCAATGCAAGCCTGGGCTCAGACACAGGCTTGAGCTCAAACCCCTCTTTCATTTACACACAAGCCTGGCTGACTCAGGCCCAGGCCCCAGGACTTTGCAGGATGAGTCGATTCGAGCCTAGGTTCCACTGGCACTCGGGCCCAAACTCCATCGTTTTGCATATGGATGCAGCTCAGGCTGAGAGTTAGCCAATGCTATCCCACAAACCCATCAGACACTGTTCTTTATCCTCTCTATCCCAAAAGTAGCCAAATGACCCCCAGGAAATGGAAGCAACCCCGCTTGTACAGCCAGGCAGCGTTTAACCCTTCCATTTTATTCTGACCACTGAGCTACAGAGTAAACCTTCTCCGTCGTTAGCTACGGCCATCAACCAGAAGTCATCTTTTGTCAAGCGTGCCACTTCCTGGTCCCGAGAGCAGAGTCAGATTTTGGTGAATCTCTGATGTGAGGCCAGCAAAAAGATGTGTTTTAGTAGGAGTACTAGCAATGACCACGTGTAAAAAAAGATAGAGAAGAAGCTGGCAGTGCTGGGAAGTCACTGGACCAGTGACCACTCAGAAAATGGATCAAGCAGCTCAAGACCAACTACTGGCAATCCAGGGATGAGAACTGCACCTCTGAGAACCCGCCTTCATCCTGCACCTTTTATGAGGCGTCTGACTGAGTGTGGGGTACTGCACCGAGCACGGAGCCAATAGTGCTTACAACAGCCTGGTCAGCCCGGGTGGCGAACTTCTGATCTCTGAATCCAATATAGGAATGGAAGAGTCCAGCAGGCACCGACTCAGGCCAGCAAAGTCACTGTGGTGCTGGAACCGGTCCAAGGAGGCTTTGCCACTGGAGCAGCTGCAGCATACCCTGGGTCCGGAGGAGCCTTTTGTTGCCCCCCCCAGCTTGAGCAGCAGCCTGCCACAGAACTGGAAGAAACAGAATTAACCAAGAGCCTGGTAAGTTTCTGGCTCCATGTTTGTTTTGATTAATATAGGAATGGAGAGGATTTCCAGATTATGAAGCAATGCAAAAGTTATTACAAGCTGTGGCTGCAGCGGGTATCCACTCATGGCAGATTGCACGGACAGCACTTTGGCGCTGGGGCGTTATAAAAATAAGAACTTTATATTGTTTTCCCTGTGAGTACACTGCTCTGTACTTATACAACAGTGTAACGAGCCACCTGTAAACAGAGAACTGTCCAGGTGGTGGTTGAAATGTGGCCCATTTAAATATGTAGTCCATTGGTGACAAAATCATTTGTCCAAAATAGGAGTGGAGGGTAAGTATGCCATCCGGAAATGTGTCTGGGAGGGGGTGGGGTGGCCGTGGAGTTCTCTGCGAGTCCATATTAAGGTGTGTGCTTGCATGCAGTCATAAAAGCCTGTTTGAGACGCTGTGGGAAGACAGTAAGCCATACAGATGCTAGCGCAGCATCCTGTTGATTCCCCCCATGAATTTTGACCCAATCCCAGGGGCTGATAGCTGCAAACTTTTCCCGAAGCAGGAACTCCAGACAGCTAGGCACATTTTGGGAAAGGGCATATTTTCGAGGGCCACCGCAGTAGCTGACCAACACACTCCACTCACAGATGTGCTATTCGGGTACCATAAGTTTGAATACTTTGGTGGCAAACACAGTTGCCTTGCCTGCCTGGAAATGCTTTAATATTGCTATTTTTGTAACACAAATAAAGGCTTTTATTTTATTCAGAGAGTTTATTGCCATCACTACATCATGACTAACAATGTTTGTTTTGAATAATAAAGATAACCATAGGGTAAGGAACAATGGGCAAGTTATAGCCATACACAATTTTTCAGTACCTCTAGGTACAATCAACCAATAATGAAAATGCACAGTTCTCCATCCATTACATTAACCGTCAGGTCATCCAAAATAAAAATATGTGAGGGCAGGTCTAGGTTGGATATTAGGAAAAACTATTTCACTAGGAGGGTGGTGAAACACTGGAATGGGTTACCTAGGGAGGTGGTGGAATCTCCATCCTTAGAGGCTTTTAAGGCCCGGCTTGACAATGGCTGGGATGATTTAGATGGGGTTGATCCTGCTTTGAGCAGGGGATTGGACTAGATGACCTCCTGAGGTCTCTTCCAACACTAATCTTCTATGATTCTATGAATATGCCCCATTCACTGTGTACAGTGACAATATCCTCCCCTCACACACATTTCAATGATGTATTGTCACAACACACATTTTCTGTCAACATTGATGTAGAAAAACTTTCCTAAACATGCTGTTCTCCCTCTTCCATTGGCCCATGCCAACCCATAATGTGGGAGCACAGAACATCCCGGATTTGTGTTCCCTGGGTGCATCCTGCCGCAGCTGTCACAGGTGCACTTTCTTTCTGGCTGAGTGTACTGATTCAGCAATCCATCACTGCCATAGTTCCATTCAGGGGCAAACAGCTCACCTTTGGCTTCACACAGATTGTGAAGAGCACAGCAAGCCACAGTGATGCGGACAGCATTGATGACACTAGAATCCAAACACGTCTGTAGACAGTGCCAGGGGGATTTCAGTCAGCCAAATGCACATTCAACCACCATTTTGCACCTGCTCAGAGTGTGATTAACCCTTCTTTTGCCAGGTCCCGAGCTCAGGATACAGTTTCATAAGCCAACGTAAAAGGGGTTATGTGGGGTCCCCCAGGATAACAGTGGGGACAGTAACTCCATTTATGACAATGTCCTTTGGTGGAAATAGAATCCCAGCCTCTCCATAAAGGTAGACTCCTGCCCAGCAGAAAACCCTGGCATCACGATTCCTCCTTCCAGTGCAGCGTACACTAGTGTCCATAAATCAGCTTCTGTGGTCCACAAGGGCATGCGTAACAGCAGAATAGTGCCCTTTGTAGTTTATGTACTCATTTGCTCCCTAAGGAGCACAAGTCCCATCAATGGCTCCGATGCAGTTTGGAAAGCTCATTCTCTCAAAACCAGCAGTTACTTCACAAATATAGTTTCTGTCCACTGCACCTGGGTAAACCACTTGCCTGATCATCTCAGAAGCCTACATCACCACTTTACCCACAGTTGACTTTCCAACACCAAATTGGTTAGTAGTAGACCTGTAGCAGCCTGGAGTAGTCAGCTTCCAAACCGTGATAGCAATCCACTTCTGGATCAATATGGTCGCCCGCACACAGGTCTCACGATGCTGGAGGGACAGGACAAGCTGCTCTTAAAGTTCCAGGAATGTAGCTTTCTTCATGCGAAAGTTCTGACCCCATTGCTGGTCATCCCAGGTCTGCATAACGACGGGATCCCACCAATCTGCACTTGCAGCCCTACTCCAGTAGCACCGGTCTACATAGAGGACATGAGCAACTATACTGAGAGTCGCGAGTCGTACCAGCCAGTACCATTCTTCCATACCTGTATCGTCGTCGTCCTCCTCCTGCTCCATCATTAGCTCCATCAGGTGCTTTCGGAGGGTCACAAAACATTGCTGAAATGTGCACCAGCATCTCATGGACGCTCCGCCTGTTTCCTGATACAGGAGTGGAAGCCCAAGCAAGAGAAGTTCTTCAAATGGTGACTCTTCCATGCTGCTGGCTTCAGTTGCTGGGAGCATGCACATCAAAACAATGGCTTGGCAGGATGTGTTGGCGGGCTGTGACAACTTCCTGTGATGTGCGGGATGGACTGTTAAGTTTTTCAACGCTGCACCATGAACCAAGGGCTAGAGCATCCACATTTTGAGAGGACGCTAAGTAGTCTGGCATATGGTTGGTTGGACTCGGGTCTGTATAGTGCAGTATGGATGCTGGTGCCCCAGTGTGGGGCCCTGACTCAAAATTTCTAAACCTAAGGTCACCAATGAGCATGGACACCCAAGCCCCTGACTTTTCAAACCCAGAGTCTGCAGACTCAAGTCCCACTAACCGTGGGCTTGCATTGCAGCGTAGACATACGCTCAGCTACCCCAGCATTGCTTCATGGCGCACTGAGGAGTAGTACCAGGGCTCTCTTAAAGCACTAATGCCGCAGCACAGACTGAGTCCCTCAATCACAGGCTTCTCACAAAGTCCCCGTCTCCCCCATGCCATCAGGTTCATCACAAAAAGATGCAGACTCAAAATGGAGCTGATAGCTGAGCTTCTGAGACTCCTTCATATGGAATTTCTCTCTCTCTCTCTTTCAGGGGTGGAAGAGAGAGAGCCAGCCCCGCTGTTCATTTAGGTTCACTTGAGTAAGGAGGAATCACCTTTTGAGTGTTTAATTTTAGAATTTCAGAAGTGGCTGATATGCAGTGTTATTGTAGCTGTGTCGGTCCCAGGATATGAGAGAGACTGGGTGAGGAAATCTCTTTTATTGGACCAACTTCTGTTGGTGAGAGAGACAAGCTTTTGAGCTACACAGAGCTCTTCATCAGGTCCAGGAAAGGTCCTCTGAGCATGGCAGCTAAATACAAGGTGCAACAGATAGTTTAGCATAAGCAATTACCACATATTCTGAGGGACCATTCAAGGTGAAGTGGCCCATTAACATCCCTACAGTAATACGACAAAAAGGGAGGGTTAATGGGTTACAGATTGTCATAATGAAACATCAATCCAATGTCTTTATTAAGACCATGATTTTTAGTGTCTAGCAAAGTTATGAATTTAAACTTCATCTTTTGAAAGTATTGGGCAGGTTCCCTTTGAGGTTGAGGACTGATAGGTCAACATAATTTTGTAGTGTAGACAAGCCCTCTCTCACGAAAATAATAAAAGACAAAAACACAACATCACCTGTGGGTGAACGCTTTTCACAAAGCTCTCACTCTGTATCTGACCTATCAGTCCTCATCCTGTGTAGCATGAAAGCTTGTCTCTCTCACCAACAGAAGTTGGTCCAATAAAAGATATTACCTCACCCACCTTGTCTCTAAAACTAGCTGATGTCCAAAGATTTATCAGAATGTGTGTGTGTTGAGGGAGTGTGGTTGTTTTGCTAGTGGAACTAAACAAAATATGACAAAATTTCAAAAAAAGCATTTTAAAATATTTCCTCTGCAAAAGATTGTCCATATTTTGCAAAAATTACAGACAAAGTCCAATTGTCTTCTGAATAGTTATTTTGCCAAGTTTGGATAGTAAATCAATCATTTCAGTGTGAAACAGAGTGATTTTAGTCCTCCTTAAAGGGCAAATTAAATGCAACCTTAAGTATGCAGTCAATATTGGTGCCTTCATATAATTAGCAAGCATATGCTGTTATTGGCCTAAAATGGCATATCTGCCTTTCACACATTTTTTCTCCTCAACATCTTTCCCAGAATGAGTCAGCCAATCTTTTTCTAAAAGTATTTCTATAAATGCTCTATTACCTTTTCTGAAAGCAGATCCTAAAAAGTTTTGTTGTTTCAAATTATAGTGTCTAATTATTCCAAATGAGAGCAAATTGGCTTGAAAATGGGAGGGAAAGATTTAATAAATGGAAAAGGATGACAGTATGCTTAAAATCTTAACAAGGAGTGCTAGGTGACATGTCTGAATAACTACTGACAGATATTTCTATTATGGAGTCTCAGGACAGTGTCAGTACTTGTGTACTGTAACAAATCACATTTTCCAGAGGTTTACAATGCAAACATAAAAAAAAAATCATTCTGGCTTGAAACCTAGCAAACAAAGTCTCAATGAAGAGGGAATTTCAGGAAAGTCTCTTCATTACCTCATCTGTGTATTGTCGCTGTACCACAAAGTTCAGAGGATTTTCAAAGTCTCTGGGTTAAATTCAGCTACAAATTCTGACTATTATTACTAAATTATTTTCATTTGGATTGCTGTAACACCTACAAGCCCCAGCCACGGACCAGGATTCCACTGTACTAGTGCTGTAAAAACACAGAACGAAAAGACAGTCCCTTCCCCAAAGAATTTGCCATCTGCACTAGGTTTTCAAATCATTATTTACCTACATCCTCACATGGTTTTAAATCTCAGTGTAAACCAGGCCCAACAATTTGCCTTAAAACAACTGCCAAGATTGCAATGGCAACCGTAAGACTAGAATGAGGAAGAGCCCTGAGACAGACAGGGCAAGACATGGGATGACAGTTTACATAAGAGAAGCTGAAGTGAGATTACTAGTGAGGATCGGATTAGTGTTGGAAAAGATTTCTAGGCGTGGGGTTTAATAGTGAGTTTGAAGGAGGGAGATTATGCTTTGTGGAGAAGCATGGAGGGAAGAATAATGAAGGCACAAAAATGAAAGCAGAGGAGACAAAGAAAGTAATATGGGAAACGGAATGTGAAGCTCTAACATGTATATTAATGGATGAAGGTAACAAACTTTATTAGTAACATAATTATGGCTATCAGAACTTTTCCCAGCCACGTGAACTATCCTTTCAGCCTAAAAGACCTAGTCCAAAGACCATTAAAGTCACTGAGAGTTTCTCCATGGACAAAGAGCTTTGACCAAAGCCCAAAGTGCAGTTCTACTTTGGAATCAATGTGAAACAATCGACATGGAGTCTCACTGCCCTTTTCAGAGTCACTTTTCAGAGCAGAACTGCACTTTAGCCAGTATATAGGGGAGGCTAGGATATGGATAAGCTGTGCAGTCAGGCTCACATAACAATTGGAACCTCACGTCACCTTTGTGGTGTGCGATACACACTCGATGCCCTCATGCCTCATTAAAGTGTTTCTGGCCTTGATCTGTTTCCTCAATAATTTCTTCTCAGACTTATTCCGTTTCAGATTGTTTTGACTGGTGCTGTCCATTTCTGCACTCGAGATTTGCAAAGACAAGGCCACAGCAGACGGGAGAAAACATTCAAGATTCCTAAAAAAAAAAAAAAAAAAAAAAAATGAATATGTCATTTATTCAAAGGCCGTTTTAAAATAATTTTTAAAGAGCCGCTGACAACATAAAACTCCTTTGTAAAAAATCCACTATTTCTATTACTAATAACACCTCTGTTCTAATACCATGTTGAATACAAATCCCTCACAGATCTTGGGCGAATGTCCCATTTTTTTCCCCATTTGAAAAATGGAGAACAAAATTCACCTAATTCACACTGTTTCGGTGAGATTATTCACCTCCCTCACAAGTCCTTTTTCAGGTAGGAATGGGGAACTTCATTTAGCTTACAATTTTGGAGGGGATGGGGGGAGAGGATCACAAAATTAACTTGAATGCAGAGACTGTTTTTTCCCCTTCAATTCATCCCCACAGGATTTTTTTTTCTGGGGGGTGATTCATGCAAGATAAAGGGCAATCTATGCTATATATTAGGGAAGAAAAAATTCCCAACCAGCTCGGCTGCTATGAGGGGAGTCCTAAGTATAGTATATAATGCCAGATGTTTTTTTTATTTCAGTGTTTAATCTCTTCCCCATTCTGTTCCTTTATTCACAAGCTTGCAACATTAATTTTTCACCCTACCTGCTCCTCCACTATGGTTTTTAAGGGGAACTATAATTAATAAAAAATTGAAATAACAAATTTGGAACCCTGAAATGAAACAGTGCTGAAGAAATTCCTTTGAAAAAAAAGCAAAAAACAATTCTCTCTCTTTCCCTCCCAGCTTCTTAAACCCTAAGGTGAATTCAAATGCTTGTGAAAGAAAATGAATTGCCAGCACTGGAAAGTGATGTCCTCGATCAATACAACAAGTTCCAGCAGGGACAGCAGCAACAGCTCTGTTCTGAAAATGTGTTTCAACTGATTACTCATAGGGTTGAGGGGGGTAGGAGAATTTCCATGCTCATTCTGTCTTTGACCTCTTTGCCAAGTAGTGTCATGCAATCTTTGAACAGCCAGGTTCTCACATTTACAACTGAACTGAGAAAGGGGATTCTCTGCTGGTGCAGTTACTTTAATACCATGCTGGGGCACCAGTTCAGACGGGAAAAGCACTCCCTAATGAAATATGTCACTTACATGATCACAGAAACACAGATACAGAGGCAGAAAAGATCTATGAAGCTACCTAATCCATCTTCCTAACAGTGTGTGATTATTCCCCATTATTACATTTATTAGTGGCAGTCCTATCTATTTTAAAAGTCCTGAGTGATGGGGCATTCACTGTCTCCTTTAGGAGACTATTCCAAAGGATAACAGATCTCAGTTTTAGCCTATACTCAATTCTGATTTGCCTTTCTGCATCCCAGTACTCCCTGTTTTACTAGTGTAAATGACCACTTGCTCTCCCTGCGGTCTCCTATGAATGAGAAAGCTAGAGGAAGTTGTGGGCTCAGTCCACAGCCATGTCCCTTGAAGGGCGCTCACATTTGCCTATGAAAACTGCAAATTCAGAATACTTTTCTTATCTGAAATAGATTGCAGTTGAAAACAAAACAAAATAATGAAACACGTGGAACATAGCAATGCCTGTAATGTGTATTTCAGAATACAAGAAAACAAGAATCAGCCAGGTAAAGACAAGGGAAACTCATACCTGCTTAAACAAAAGGTGCAGTTAATTTAGTTTTCACTTGGGAGAGGACAACACAGAGAAAAATATAAGAACAAAGTTAAAACTTCTGTTTATCTTTGTAAGAACACATTTTGAGAAATCAGTTACACAATTTTCCTGAGAGACTTGAAACTAGACCTCTTTTATTGCTGGAGCAATTCTGGCCTGATTCACTAATCAACCACTTCAGAATCAGCCCAGGGACTTGAATATCAAAGGCAAACACAGGTTGGGATTTAAGGACAATGGTATGGCAGACTCTATAGGAAAGCTTGCACACTGTCTGCCTGCACATATTGGGGCTGATTTTCCACTGTCTTGTACATTACATATCCATTTAAGGCTCAGTCCTATGTCTATTGAAAACAATGACAAAGCTCCCATTAACTTTAATGGTACAAAATCAAGCCCTTTGACCTTTGCATGGTGAGTGAAAAACTCTATCATTCCCATTTTGTAACATTTTTTTACCCACTTTGCACTAGGTCAAAATTACCATAGAAGGTACAAGGCAATGGAGACTCAAACCCCTTATTACGGACCTTAACTCATTTGCACTGAAAAACAACCCCTCAAAATGCATCAAAATTAAAACAAAAACACAGGAACAATCATGCTCTACCAGCAGTTTTAGCTGTGAATATAATGATCCATATCATGCCACAATGAAATTAATGGAAAGAGTTAATGGAGAGTTTTGCTCAACAATGGAGAGCCTGGACTGGCCCCATATGTTTTAGGAGCAATTTCTGAAGAGAACAGCAAGATTAATTTAGATTGTAGTTACGTATGCTAGTTACCAGCAGATGGAGCACTATGCCCAGTTATAAAGTGACTGACTTCACTTTGCAGGTGCTCAGCACTTCTGGAAAAAGATTCCTAGATAGACAATGGAAATAAAACAGAGAAAAGAAGAGAGGAGGGCGGGGGGGAGCAATCCTTCAAATCCTATTACCTATTATTTCCATAATGTCTTGATGATGTTTTTAATATTGCCTATAAAATGTAGCGTATTCATGATAACATGTATAGTTTCACAGTCATTAGTTAACTGTTGGTCCAATATATAACTTCTCATAGACACAATAGTCTTATTTTATACCCTTTAACCATTAAGGTCCCCATCCTGCAATGAGAGGCAACTCCTGCACCTGTATGGAAGTCCACTGACTTCAATGCAGGTCTACATAAACACATTGCAGAATCAGGGCCTTATTGTGTAAGATTGCTGACATGAAACACTAATGGGTGACAAGATGGACTTCCGTCTGAATCGCTAAAGTTCTGCATAATCTACTTTGCATTTATTTACAAAGTCAAAGATTATAATCGGAGATGAGCTCCAGATGCAAGTTTCAGATACAGATCAGGGCTGCAAATATCACAAAGTCTGCAGTGCTTTGAACCTCCCATTTATAAAGGTGGGGTCATTTGCAAAATTTGAATCTAGGTTTGTATTTTAAAAACTGACTCCCAACATTCAGACCTGGCTAGATCTAGAGGTCTGATCTGGGCTCAACCTGTCACTAATTATAATAATTCCAGAAATTATTATTATTTATTCACCCGTCAAGATTAGATTGGGTTCAGCCCCATTGTGTTGTACAAACACACAATAAGAATGTTCCCTTCCCCAGAGAGCTTACAGGCTAACTAGAGAAGACAGGAAAAGGGTGTGAACCAGTGCTTAATTTGTAACGCAAGAGGTGCCGGGGCTCAAGCAATTTTTTTTTACATTCATAACTTCTGCAGCAAGCTCAGAGGTGCTGGGGCTCAGCCCTGGCAAAAATTAAGCACTGGTGGGAAGGGAAACAGAAAAATGAAGCGACTTGCCCTAATTCATGCAGAGATCAGTGGCAGAGCATGAGTTAGAAGACGTCTCCACCCTCTCAGTCCTGTGGGCTATCCACTGGACCTTGCTGCCAACACTGACCTTCTCCTACAGCACCGTGGCAGCATGGCAAGGCTGAGCAGAATTGCACTCTGCCCTGGGGCTGAGAGATGAATGGTCTCCTAAAGCCCCAGTTATCCATGTCACTGAGCGGGCCCTGAACCGGCTGCTGTCAGACCAAATTCAGACGCAGTGACCCCTCCCCCCGCCCCTTGCAGCACAGACCCTGAGCTCCAGCCCACCCGCAGGGACTGGGTTTGACAACAGGCCGTTACTCCTGGTCACGTTAACACCGTAGTCGCCAGCGGCGTCCGCCCAGCTTTCGAGCGTGGCCCCCGGAGCTCAGCTGAGACCCGCGCAGCCGCTGGAAGGTGGCAGAGGGAGCCACGCGCGTTACCTTGCGGGAGGCAGCCATTCTGGGGAAACCTTGACTACAACTCCCATGAGCCTCACTGCCTACAGCTCCCGTCATGCCCGTGGCGGGCAGCGTCCCTTCCCGGTTAACCCTCTCGTCCCCATGTAGCTGTGTGGTCTCAACGTCTCCTCCTGCGCGTGCTCACCCTGCAGGACCCCTGAGGCAGTGCGGTATCACACCCCGCCCTGACGTGGCCCTGGGTGAGGCAGGTTTTGCTGCCGACCTATGGGAGGGGTCTCAGCCTTTTTCTTTCTGCAGCCCCCCAGCATGCTATAAAACCTCCACAGCCTGCCTGTGCCACAATAACTGGTTTTCTGCATTGATTCTGCAATGGATTAAAAGCCAGGGGTGGAGTTACGGGATAGTAGGCTGGGCAATTGCCAGGCGCCCCATGCCAAAGCCCCCCCCCACGAAGCTAAGTTGCTCGGGCTTTGGCTTCAGACCTGTACAGTGGGACTCGGGCTCTGGCTTTCTTTCCTGGGCCCGCCCCCAGTGACTCTTAATGCTGGCCCTGCTCTCTGGTTTATTTTGGTGGACCCCCTGAAACCTGCTTGTGACCCCGCACAAGGGGCCGCGGACCCCTGGTTGAGAACCACTGGCCTACACCTGTGGTTTTCAACCTTTTTTCATATGTGCAGACCCCTTTGGAAAGTTTAGACATAGTCTGTGGACCCCCAGGCGTCCACAAACGACAGGTTGAAAAAACCACTAGTCTACACCTTAGCCTTTAGATCTTTAGCTTAGAAACTGAACACCTAAGAGTGCAGGTTTGATTTCGAACCGGAAAAGTCTTCTGTTTTTCCCCAAAGAAAACCAAATATACTTCCCACTAGGTTCTGAATCCTAATATGTAGCCTTGTTAATTCTTATTTTGAGCATGTGTTCCTCGCTGATCTGGATAGCATCTATAAACAGAGAAAGACAGGGACAGAAAACTCAGTATCTTTGAGAGGAACAGCCGTGTTAGTCTGTATTCGCAAAAAGAAAAGGAGTACTTGTGGCACCTTAGAGACTAACCAATTTATTTGAGCATGAGCTTTCGTGAGCCAAAGCTCATGCTCAAATAAATTGGTTCGTCTCTAAGGTGCCACAAGTACTCCTTTTCTTTCAGTATCTTTGCACGCAGAAGTTAGGATTCTTTCCTCTTCATTGTCTATGGCATCTAGATACTAAGGTGGTAGGTGCCTTAGAGATGGTAATTATATAAATCCCCAAACACAGTGTTGTCTGTTTTGATATGTATTTGGGGACCACATTTTCATCGTGAAAAGCAAGGCTGTGGCGACGGTGCCTGGAGTGGTGGGGGGCAGGGTAAGGGAAGTGAAAGCAGAAGGAGTTTGGAGGGAAAGCAGGGAAAGGTGAGTGAGATATCCCTCTCCTTTCACTACCCTTCTTAACTGGATACCGCACTTTCTCCCTTTGGAGCAGCATAAAAAGGCATAGAAGGAATCAGATTTTAGCTTCTTATTTTTAGTCTCACATGGCCTGAATGGAACTTTATTTCTGCCCTCTTCTCTCTATATCTTTCCCTTCCTCTTGGATTTTATGTTCTTCATAATCATCTGTGCTTTCCTTTCACCTTTTCTTTTCTCCTCCTGTTCTCTTTTTCCTTTCCTCATTTTGTCCTCTACAGTGTTACTCAAACAGTGGGTGGTGGCAACCCATCAGTGTATCATGGGAAGATTCTAGATGGGTCACCACGTCCAGGGCTGGATTAATCTACCACTTGGCCTTGGCCTAGGCAAATATATACTTCTCCCAGTGCAGGGTGGAGGGGATTCTCTACGCGTGGTGGGGTTGGAGAGTGAACCCACCGTGCACTCAACCCACGGCGGTCCCATGACTCTGTGACTGGATCCCATCTCCAGGCATTATGATCTGGGACCAGGGTCTGGCTAGTGCAGCCAGGGTCTGGCATGGCGTGGCCAGAGCTGGGATCCAGCTGGCACAGCCAGGTCTGGGGTCCGGCCGGAGCAGTGAGGCCAGGGCCAGGGTCCGGCCAGCAGGGCTGAGGGCCAGCCAGTGTGGCCAGGGTTAATGGTTAAGGTTGGTTAACCAGTAAGCATTGGGCTGGCTGGGGTTCATGGCTAAGGTCAGTTAACCAGTAAGCCTAATGCTTACCGATTAACCAGTTAACATTTTACATCCCTAGTCCCATCCCTCTTAGAAAAACTCCTCCGTCCACTTCCTCCTGATTCCTGTTCTCCCTTCAGCCTACCTTTGCCTTCTACCTTTCCTCTTCCCAGAATTCTCTGTTGCCCCATTTTCTCTCTGCCTCCCCACAAAAAAATAATCACCTGTTTTGTCTCCTCATACCCAAATTCCTTTATGCAGCTCTTCCCTCCAGCACTGTGCCAGAGGAGAGGAGAGAAGTGCAATGTGGTAGCAGGGCTGAGTGTTTCCTACTCTTTCCAGCAGTACCTGACTCCTGGAGTTGGACTCTCCAGACAGGCTGGCTGCAGCAGAGGGAATTGCGGTGGGGATGTGGAGAGAAGGGGTGACAATGGCTATATACCAGAATTGCTGTGATCTAGGAAAGGCTCATCCATTCAGGCATCGGCCTGCTATTTCATATGATCTTCTGCTGGCCAATGCCAACTGCATGCTGTTCAATGGAGAATGCATCCCAAAATGAGGGACACAAGAAAAATGTAACACATGCTTTAAACTGTGGAGGATTAATTTATATTCATAAACTGCATGGTTGGTAACATCTTACATTTTCAATATTTCTGACAGGAATAGTGTATGTAAGTAAGACAGCACCAAGGGTGTGAGGAACAGTAAATGTGGGAGTAAATCTGTATCTATGGTATGGAACAGTGCTGAAAGATAGAATTCACACACAGAATCTTCACCTTCAAAAGATCAGGCTTCATCTGGATCCACTTCAGTAGCTCAGATCATTACAGAGGGAAATGACATGCCAGCAGAGGGCAGTATAGCACACACAAACCAGTAGAACACTTTCTCCATTACACATTAGCTAAAACAGGTTTCAGAGTAGCAGCCCTGTTAGTCTGTATTCGCAAAAAGAAAAGGAGGACTTGTGGCACCTTAGAGACTAACAAACATCTTTTGTCTTTAACAAATGTCCTTAGTCTCTAAGGTGCCACGAGTACTCCTTTTCTATTAGCTAAAACAGTTTCTTTGTACTTGTACTGATTGGAAAATCCTAGCTGAACAGCCAGCCTCTTATACATGTCCCAAATCCAACCTAAGGGAGCACTCACCCTGTGGAGCACCACAAAGATTTGTGCACAACTAACGAGCTTTTCTGAAAATTCCCTTAACGCCCCTATGGACCTAAGCAGGCCACTCGTCCCATATGAATGTTCGTAAATTCCAGCACTGACCTCTAGGCTTCAGTTTTCCCATGCGTAAAAGTGGGATGATGATAACACCTACCTCACAGGGTGTTGTGAGGGTTAGTTAACCTCTCACTGCACTTTGTAAGTTGAAGTTAATAGTGGGGGAAGAACATCCAAACGCAATGCTGACAGCTGCTCTCTCGGGTAGAATTTTCTCTGAGAGCTACAGCATGGAATCGCTGAAATCTGAAAAATGACTCACAAGGTGATTCTAATGACTTAAGATGGCATTTCACTGCCAATCTCCAGCAAGTGGGAAATACCTGCTGCCCAGAGGTTGTTTCGGTTTCATGGTTCTAGCCACCTGCTTTGCATCTCTGAATTCTGGATCAGAGAGAATTAACAGGAGCACATTTCTCCTGCTTTGCTGTGTGACACACCCTTTTATTCATAATCTGATCATTAAAATGCATGACTGGTAGGTACTGCTGGGAGAAACAGGATGATTGGGATTTGTGCAGTGTGTAAACAGCTAGATTCTTGCAGAGGAGCAGCTGGTTGCTCTGGGCATTTTCTCTGTCATCTTTTGGATGAAGATGGCTTTTCATCCTCCTGTGGATCATTTGCCAACAGGAAGACAGAGGTATTGTATAGTTTGTCCTAGGAGTGTCTATTTAAGATTGGCATTGGTCACAAAATTGTGCATATTTGGCATTAAGTGTCTCAGTGTCTTCTTTGCAAACATATCAAGAACCTCTTGGTAAAAAATGGCAGAATTTTTTCCACATGAATGAAAACTATACAAAAAACTACTTAGGATTACTAATGCCATATCGTACTCAACGCAGAACCACATATACCAGGAGTTAACCCCTGAGGTACCACACAGCCCCTTTTTTTATAGTAACACCCACACCCATGAACACAGACACTCCTTCAGACACCAGATTCCTAGTGATCACCCACAAACAGGCAACTGCATATGTCCACCTACATTATCACTGACTAACACACAAAATCTCTCACAAAATACTGGGGATTAGAGCTGGCCGAAAGTTCATCGAAAGATATTTTCAACAAAAAATGGCTTTTCAACCAAAACAATTTGTAAGTATATGTGTGTGTGTGTGAGAGAGAGAGAGATTCATTTTTGTCAAAATTTTCCAGTTTTTCAAAAGCTGAAAATGTTCTGGTAAAAAAAAAAATCAGTTTTCAGTAAATATTTTGGGGTTTTGGTTCATTTTTCAGTAATTTTTTTTTAAACCAAAAATGGTATTCTACCAAAAAATGATCTGTTTTTTGTTCTAGAAGTTCATTGAAAAACTGCAAACATTTCCCTTCTGAGGCACAATTTCCTTCTTGTTTCCCCCTTGCTCTAGGGGTGGGAAGTAAATTGCTGTTGATGTGTCAGCAGAAAATTATGACACTCTTCACCCTGGCTCTGCTGCATTAGCAGGTGCCTTGGCAGGGGGCCTTGTCCATTCCCTGTCACACCCTGCCCACTTCATAAGAGAGTAAAGAAGCATGCAACACCACTAACATCTGTGCTCTTGGCCCAATGGGTAGTCCACACAAGGGTGGCAAGGGGTTCTAACTCCCCTGCCTGGGTGGGCACTCC